GTTGCCCCGTTGTGGGCAGAAGCCATTTTATAGCTCCCCAGGGATGTTTAACCCTCTGCATCTTCTACTGTGCTTCTAGGGTGGTCAGGCAGAGGACGCTTTCCCTACCAGCCCAGCTCATCATGGTTTATGGTGACTGGAGCTGAGAGTTCCTTCTGGGCTCACTGACCATAAGCAGTCTCCTGCTCCACTGGTTAGGCAGTCCATCGGTTCAGGCTCCCCCATTCTTTCTGTGTCTTCTGTGATCCTGAGACCATGAGGAGTTGTGCACCTAGAATTCTGCCCTATTCATCCCTGTACCCGTTTTAGAAAAGGGTCTCACTAGAGCAGATTTCCAAGGGTTCCAATTTTTTGCTCTGGTGTTATATCACTTTCTGGGGGCCATATTATGGAGGACTCTCCATCTACCTTCCAGTAATTTCCCTCTGGAAATTATTTTGCAAAAGATAGTCATTTTCCTGCTTGTAGAGATCCAGATAAATCTTCTTACATTTCAAGTTGAATTCATGGGTGTTCAGAATGGTTTGATAGGTATCCAGCTAAATTTGAGGGACCAGATGAAACAAGGTCCCCTACTCTGCTGCCACCTTGCCATCCCCAACTTCCTGTTAGAATTCTTAAGCTTATATGCCTTTTCATGATCCTTCCTGTCATCAGACCTTAGGTTGACAATGTTTCTTTTGCTTTCCCAAAAGTATTATGCTAAATTCATCTTAGTGGTCTCTCTGACCTCTATAGAATCAGGCCAGATTTCTGCATGTACTCACTCAGTGTCTGAAAATGATGTTATTTTCATCAGGAGCACACAAAAGGAGTTGTTACTGAGTAGTGTGTGTGTATGTGTAGGGGAGAGAGGTTGAGGCATGTATAGCCTTGGTGGTTTCCATGAACCAGTCCCACTGAGGAATTTGTGACTGAGTCATCACCCATGAATATGTTTTCTTGATGGAGTCTATGATGTAGTTAATAGAATCTTCATCTTTTCAAAGCCTTCAGAGTTATGTCACTCTACCAATCCTTTTCCACTCTCATGCAGCTAATGAATCAACATTCTTGACTGGATAAGGGAGAACTGAGCCTCTTTGGCAACATCCCATATAGTTGGGGAAGCTGAGGGGTCATCTCATTTTTCTGTGGAGGAAATCGTGGGGGTGGTAAGATATTTCTTGTCTCTAAGCTGAGTGGTCTTGGCAGAGAAGGGATATGAGTAGTCAACCTGTTCCCTTTACTCTCTCCAATGCACCCAAACTTGGTTTTATCTTGTTGTTGTTGTTTTGTTTTATTTTCATTACGCGGTGAAGCTTCTTTTCTGGACTTCTACAAATGTTCTCTTGTCTGTGGATGATGGCCTAAGACAGTGTTTTGACCTGAACTATAGCTGAAGCAGTTCACAGGGCAGGGTCTATTAGCAGATCTGAGATAAAAGTATGCATTACCTGAAACTGAGGTGTGTAAAATTCCTTTTGAGTCTCTTGGCATTTGGTGCTGAATCCCCTATCTCCTACAGAAGCACTTGTGTGCATGATTCTTGATATGTAGCACAACAAAACAGGGATATTGATGTCACCATTTTAAAATGTAAAATTCCATAGCAATAAGTGCATCCACAATATTTTACAACAGTTACCACTGTGTATTTCCAGAGTTACTTCATCATCCCAAACAAAAACTCCATGCCTATTAAAAGTAATTCTTCAATTTAAAGTGGAGCTACCCTATGACCCTGCAATTGTACTACTGGGTATTCACCACCAAGATAAAGATGTACTGAAAAGAAGGGCCATCTATACCCCAGTGTTTATAGCGCAATGGCCACAGTCACCAAACTGTGGAAAGAGCCAAGAATACCCTTCTACGGACGAATGGATAAAGAAGATATAGTCCATACATACAATGGAGTATTATGCCTCCATCAGAAAGGATGAGTACTCAACTTTTGTATCAACATGGACAGGACTGGAGGAGATTATGCTGAGTGAAATGAATCAAGCAGAGAGAGTCAATTATCATATGGTCTCACTTACTTGTGGAGCATAAGGAATAACACAAAGGGCATTGGGCGAAGGAGAGGAGAAGGGAGTTGGGGGAAATTGGAGGGAGAGATGAACCATGAGAGACTGTGGACTCTGAGAAACAAACTGGGGGTTTGGGAGGGAGGGGGGGTGGGGTTGGTTGAGACTGGTGGTGGGTATTAAGGAGGGCACGCATTGCATGGAGAACTGAGTGTGGTGCATAAACAATGAATCCTGGAACACTGAAAAAATAAAATAAAGTTTAAAAAAAAGAATAATTCTTTAAATTAGATAAAAATTAAAACTATTTTGAAGGTACCCTTGATAGAGATACCCAATGACCATTTACAAGGCAACATTTATAAAGACTATGACAACAGCCTACTCTGGATTCTTGAACAACTTATAAGTAGCTGGTAGTCCAAATAAGGTCTTTTCCCACCTTAGCTAAGTAAAACTGAGAACCTGTATTAATACTGTTAAATAAAATTCTTTTGTGGCCCAGTAGTCCAAGACTAGAGAATGGAGGAAGATTAATGAATAAGTGTTTGCGAGGGACTTTTAGAAAAGTTTGTATCAAAATATCTTATTTCTAGATTGTCAAATAATTCAGTTTCAGTTCATCTGACAGAGCAGGAAGGAAGATATTTTCATAATGTCAGCAAATCAATTTCAGCAGTATATATCAGACATAAGAACTCTGGTAAGATTCTCAGAGGATTAAAAACATCAATTGTAGGGATTTTGGAGAGTGTTGGGATATGTAGAAGGAAAAAAAAAATCAAGTTTCTACCTAACTTAGGTCATTAGGACAAGATACTCCTGTTGCATCATGTTCAAAATAATTTTGTATCTTACCACGATCTGTTAAACTTAGATGAAAAAAAAAAAACATATTTGGATTTTCTTATACTTTGTTTGTACCTTTCTTCTTGACCTTCTACCCCACCTGGGAAGAGAGAGTGTTAAGATTTATACAAATTAGTGAGTAAAGAAGAGGTAGGTGGTAGTGTCTTTCTTTTGTTTAGATTCTGAGGACAGAGAGAGTTTAAGTTGTATTGACAGTGCTGAAATTTTAGTCACTCTTTGACCTGGATTTCAGAGGAGAAATGAAGTTCACTCATTAGAGCAATATATTGTTAAGGAAGATGGTTGAAAATATAGACATAATTGTCCAAGAATAGAAACATGTGTGCCACTGACCCCAGAATACTCTATTGATTCACTGTAACCTTTATTTTAACTGCTAAATTCTTCTTTCTGGAGAATACATCTCTGTTATCCAAGGCATAAAGAAGGCCAAAGCACCCTTGTTAATGCGCCTTAATATTCATGATTTAGAGATTCAAGAGTCAGAGTTGAAGTAGACTCAGTGCAAAAGTCAGAAGTTTTTCAATCTGACCCTTGCTTACTATTTGTGAACCATGGGGATCAGTATTTCATTTCATCTTCTCAGGCTGAAAAGATGATTCACTTCATTTAGCAAATATTTACTGTGCTAAGTTAGATTCTAAGGGGTTTATGGGAAACCAAACAGATGGGAAAATAGATGGGAATAAAAGAGGCAAAAGTTCTGACCCTCATAAATATCATATTTTTGGTAATGCCTTTGGTGTCACAATTGCTCAGCACTATGTGTAAAAATAAATTAAATAAATAAATAAACAAACAAACAAACAAATAAATAAATAAATAAATATATGGTTCCTGCAATACTATAAGAATAGTGAACTCTCTTCCCTTGGCTATATACAAAAGTAACCTACTTAACTTTCTTGAACTTCTCTTTCCTATTGGAGAATTGGACATCTTCTAAAATTAGTAAGAGAATTAAATGAAATTACTGTAATGAAGTACTTACATCATACTTGGCATTCAGTTATTTATTAGCTCTTTTTTTTTAAAATATACTGCTTCTTTCTGCAACTACAAAGGAGACCAGGCTGAAGGGATGCAAATAATTTTTAGAATTTTTAAGGTTAATAAAAAGGACAATGGGTATGTTTCATCTGTTATATGAAAATGAGGTAGTCAAATTTTTTTAAGTTATTAGATTCCAGTTCATTAACATGACAGTGTACTATTAATTTCAGTGTACAATATAGTGATTCGAATATTTTTTGCTAAATATGTCATAAGTGGACATGTACCTACATATGATTTAACTATATTAATTTTCAGTGATTTAAAGGACTTAGCAACCCAAACTATATAAAATGGTGAGAGTAGCAGTTACTGGCAGGCACTAAAACATGCACATGGGGAGAAAGTAACTCCAATTATTAACTATGATTTGTAGCAAAATGAAATTAAAAGTATAAATGAAATTTGTTTTCATCTACACATCCACACCAAAATTTACAATGTTCAGATTAACCATACTATTTAATGTGGTCTACATAGAGATTAACGATTAACTTAACAAAATTACCAGGACGTGCAGCACAAAGATAAAAACTAACCAGAATAATTGTTCTTTTTGTAAGAGGATGAAGAACTTTATAACTTTAATTAAGCTGCTTGGTAATTTTTCCGTACATCGTCACTAATGACTTTTGGCAGGTTTTATATATTGGTTAAAAACATAGGGAATGAGAGGCTTAACTCCTCCTTCCCCATGGAAAGGAAATGCAGAATTGATACATTAAAGTCCCACATTCAAGTAATTTAAATGCATGCATATGGGGGCTCAATGATCTGGCCCAATCTCTCTACCTCCCGTTCTTCCTTCCTTCCTCCCTCCCTCCTTTCTTATTTATTTATTCCCAAAGTGTTAACGATCTTGTAATTGTACGACAGATTTCCATGAACATGGCTCTAGCTCCTTCTGTCTTCCTCCTTGCTGAACCCACAGCGTAATTTTGCTTGCCAACTCTCGGTCATAATGGGAATTTTGGACGCCGTCATTTCCGGTGAAGACAAGTTCAAGTCTCGCATCGCGAGACCGTGAGGCCGTGGGGTAGTCAACGGTCGCTTCTGAGGTACTTTTCCATCTTTCAGAGAGGCAGGTAACCAAAAACAAAACAAAAATGTGTAAATTATTACTAGTTCATTACGCCTTAATCTTAAGAATAACATGTTGCTATTTTAGCTCTCAGCGATTATCAGACTTCTAAACAGGTTAATTTCGTTAATTTCACAAAACACAGATGGTATCTGTGAACTTTTTCTCTATTGACCCTCCTTCAGTCTTCTTTTTAGTTTTCCACTTAACATGCTGTTTTTGTCAGGCTTTTACGTTTTTATGTATTTCTTTTATGTATTTGATGTATTTTTTGGTTTCTTTTTCATAACACTTATTTTGACTTTGAGTCTTAATGTTTGTCCGTCTATTCTGTGGTTCAGTGCTGTTTAACTTGGACGCTCTTAAGATATTTCTCTTAATATTTTTCTTCTTTTCCACCTTTTCTTGTGATTTGTCTCATGTTTTTCATCTTGTTACTTTTGATTTTTATTTGTATGCTTTTTCTATTAATCTAATTTTGAATCTTTTTGTCTATCCATTTTTTATGTTTATCTGTTCATTTTTCTGTCTCCTGGGTTTTTTCTTTTTTCTTTTTTTTTTTTTTTTTGGTTTTGTTTTGTTTTGTTTTGTTTTGTTTTTGGTTTGTTTGTTTTTTAAATGGTTCTAAGTAATAGTATTGATCTTTGTTTCTTTCTGTTAAAGTCATTAGTCTTTTCATAAATTTGTCCTCTCCAGTTCTTGAGGTTTTTTTCCTTTTCACTCATTCTTCCCCTAGTTCTATCTTTAGGGAAAGAGTTCTTCACAGAAAGAAATTTTGCCTTGTATCTCTGTATTGTTCAGACTGCATGTGCTGACTCTTCTCTATTTCTTAGTGCCTAGGCAATATGATCTTTTTATATCCTTTCTCCTGGAATGTCTTTGACTTTAAGCTTTCTTATGCTTCCTTCCTGCCCCTAATTTCTTCTTCTGCCTTTCTTTCCTTCCTTTCATTTCTTTTTCTGAGTCTTTTGTGTTGTCATTTTCTTTGTGATGAAGTCTTTGTTTCTTCATCAGTGCTTTTAAAAAATGTCTTGTTGGGTTTCTGTTGCCCTGTATATTTGTTTCTGTCTAGTGTTGCTACCCTTTCTTCCCTTAAATCTCTCTCATGTTTATCCATATATTTATTTCTATCATGGTTTATTTATGCCTTTCTCATTATGTAAGTAAATAATATTTGCCTTGCTCTTTCTTTACTTTCTCTCTGGTTTTCCCCTTCCTTTTCTTTCTCTCTTATTGCCTCTACTTTTTTTCCTCCTTTAAACTCTCATTAAACTCACTTCTCTCTTCCCATGCATCAGCTTTTACTTATGTATTTTCTCATTTTGCATCTTCAGTTTGAGACTTGCTAGATTTTCTGCACCTTTATAATGGATGTTTCATGAGAGTCCAGAGACTTTTGTTTACTGTTATATTCCAAAATACAGTAACAAATGCATTATGTTCTGCTTTTCTAACTTTCAGTACCACATTTCTTTATGTGTGAGTGATATCTCTTTTAGCTATTTCTGTGGTTTGTGTTTGTCTTATTTTTCTCCTCACGCTAGCTCTTTGTTGCAGCAGGTTGTGAAATGTACTGCTATAGGTGCCTTGCATACTTTTTTTTCTTTCTTTCATTCTGTATTTCCATTTCCTGTCCCTGAGTTTCTCTGTTTTATGTTTTTTCTTTCCCCCCCCTCTGACTCCCACTTTCTCTTATTTTCTAATCTTTAGTGTTTCCTTCCCAAATTTGCCCTACTCTACAGAACTCTTTCAGGATCATTTTCTCATTTGCTGCTATGTTATCACTGAAACTCTCTTCTTGTTTCAGTTTTGTTTTGTTTTCCTTTGCTCTTGGTTATTTTCCTTTTTTTTTCTTTGTTTTTGTTTTGATAGTTATTCATTTTTTCATTCTCTTTATTTTCATGTTTTCAAAGTATTTCACCCTCCTGATCTGGCAGTTAGTGTTGTCCATTTCACTAGAGATTATATATACTTGGTGATGGTCTTTCTTCATCTGCTTCCATGTACTATTAAGGGGAAAAAAAATTAAAATATAGCAGCAAGGGTCAGGAGCACCTTAAATGCTTTTCTTATTTATCTCTCTCTCTTTTTAAAAGATTTCATTTATTTATGCATGAGCAGGGGGTGGGCGCAGAGAGAGAGGGAGATACTGACTCCCTGCTGAGCAGGACCCTGGAATTGCCACTTGAGCCAAATGCAGATACTTAATAGAAGGAGCCACCCAGGCACCACTTGTTTATCTGTTTCTGATCTTTATCTTCCTCCTGTTATCCAACTTCTTAAATCTTTGTAGACAGAATTATAAACTGGATTTATTTTATTTTATTTTTTTGTACTTTACAGAACTTAATGTGAAAATGGCTGAAGAAGACTCATCATCATCTTCATCTGCTTCTGCCTCTCAGGAACAAGAACAGCTTAAAAACAGAAACTTGGTAGTTTTCTCTGTGGCTGCAGACCATCACACAGATGATTTGACTGAAGCCCCCACAACTCTGTCTAGTTTTGCCAGTATCAAGCTTGGCACTGGGTCTGTCAAAAAACTAGTAATCAAAAACTTTAAAGGTAACATAATGATCATTTGATTAAGATTTCAGTTTTAGCTCCTCATACCCTATTGCTGCTTTTCTATTTTAAATTTGGAGAGATACAGTTATATTTTCTGAGGCACAGTTAATTTTTACAAGATTTAGGAACATTATTTTTGCATTCTGAAGCCCTGAGTCCTGGCCATGATATAACCACAGAGTAACATTTGCCCTTTGGAAGATCACTCCATGGTTCATTTCTTTGTTTCCCTCTAAACTACATTTTAACTTCTCTGTTTGACTTTGAAATACCTTTCTCAACTGTGACACCTTTGTAGATTAAATTGTCTCCTATATGCTCAGTGAGTGGATCTTTCATATTACCGAAAAGTGATCTCACATAGATAGTAAAAAGGCAACAATTTAAATTTCTGATAAGTTATAGAGTGTTGGTGAAAAAGTATGCACTTGGATATAAACAATGAAATCATAAGAAAATCCATTCCTCAGAGTAGATGTATTTTAGTGTTTAAAAAATTCTGAGGAAATATTAATATAAAAAATTAGAAACTCAACAGAATTATTGAATCAATTCTTTTCACGTCAAATTTGTAAAATGAAATCCGTATACGGGTATGTTTGAATTTTAAAAACCAACATTTTTGGTATCTGGTTGCTCATTTTTAGCTTACAGAGTTTAAAGAACATATGCCAATCTCATTGATATCTTTAATTATCGGGAAACAATTTAACATTCCCTATTTTAATTAGTATTATTTAATAACTCCTACATTCAGTTCTTTCCTGCACAAGTACAGCTCTTCATTGTAAGTAAAACTTCAAATATCACAAAATTTCTGTTTAACATGACAAATTTTCTTTTAAAATAAATATTTTTAACATTTCCCCCTCTGGTTTTTCCCTTTGTTTTTTATCCAGAACCTAGTGTGTGCTGGATTTATTATGCAGAAGTTTGACGATAGATTGTTGAAGCGTAAAAAGCAGTCTTTAAGAACTAAATAATATTTCAAATAACATGAGTTTTTGGAATTCATGTTATAGTCATGCATTATTGAATGATTGAAGATTTGAAATTCCAATATTTTTTATATATTTTAGTATTTTGTAGGATAAATGTTAGCAACTGGAATGGCCTGGTCTATGCAAGTTCCACTGAGCATGGAACTTGACGTGGGGCTTGACCTCGGACTCTGAGATCATGACCTAAGCCAAAACCAATAGTCACATGCTTAACTGACTGAGCCACCTGGATGCCCCCAATAATGAACTAAATAATTTTAATCATTTTCACTTAATCAGCTTATTTTAATCACCCAAAGATGAAACTCCATAGTCATAAGCATTATCATTTCCCTGTCCATCCCTTTTCCCTTCCTTTCTATCCTCTACCTGGCAGTCAGCAGTTTGCTTTCTGTCCCTGTGGGTTTACATGGTCTGAATGTTTCATATAAATGAAATCATTCTATAAGTGGCCTTTTCTGTCTACCTTCTTTCATGTAGTATAGTGCTTTTGAAGTTCAGTCATGGTGTGACATGTGTGAATGCTTCATTTTTATGGCTTAAATAAAATTCCATTGTATGGACATGCACACTGCTTTGAACATTTACGTATGAGATTCTGTATGAATGCCTGTATTTAGTTCTTTTGGATAGATGCCAAGAAGGGAATTGTGGGATCATATGGTGATTTTATGTTTAATTACAGAACTGCTAAACTTTTCCACATTGTCCACATAATTTTATGTTCCCACCAAAAATATGCAGGGATTCCAATTTCCCTGCATCCTGTCAAAAATTTTTTATATCCTCCTAGTAGGTGTGAAGTGATATGTCATAGTTTTGACTTAAATGTATCTATTTACTTAATATGTTGAGCAACTTTTCGTAAGCTCGTTGGCCATTTGTATATATTCTTGAAAATGTCTGTTTAAATCCTTTGCCTAGTTATTAATTGGGTTTTTTTTTTTGTAGATGAGTTGCAAAAGTTTTTTATTCTACATACTTGATATTTACCAGTTATATGATTAGCAAATATTTTCTCGTATGCTGAGGGTTGTGTTTTTGCTTTCTTGATTTTCCTTTGATACACAGAAATTTTACATTTTAACTTAATGATCTCTCCAATAAATTAATGTTCATACCTGAGGTGTCATGTATGAATCTATTGCAAGATCCAAGGTCATGAAGACTTATCCCTGTGTTTTCTACTGAAAGCATTATAGATTATGCTTTCATATTTATATTTAGGCCTTTGATTTTGAATTATTTTTTGAATATATTAGGATAGCAGTTTTTCTTCATTCTTTTGAAATGTGGCTATCTTGTTGTCCTAGTACCATTTGTTGAGGAGACTATTTTTACCCACTGAATGGTATCAACATATGTGTTTAAAATAAATTTGTCTTAAATGTGTGATACTTAAATGATACTACATTTTATAGTATTTGACATTGTCCTCCAAACATTTTGCTCCATAATCTTGTGTTAATTTTTTAGATAAACCTCTGATACTAGAAAACTATACTGAAGGAACATGGCAAAAATTAAAAGAAGCTGTACATGCTATCCAGAACAATATCTGTGTTAAATACAGCTTGGAAGAACTCTATCAGGTATGTGTCATTTTTGGATATAAGTACTCATTAATCATAATGGAGTCAGGATTTATATTAATAATGTATTATATTTGCTTGGATCTTTTGTCATCATGCATTGTAATGCATCATGCATTGAATCCATCATAGTTTACAATCATGCAGTTCAATTTATTTATTTATATCTGATGGATTTATTTAGCTTCAATTATGCTGGGTACACTCTGCTTTCATGTATATATTCTCATTCTTCAAGTTATTATAATTCAGTTTAATTTAGCAGAGTCTTGTGTACATTTTTCTTACTTTAAAAAGAGTCTAGAAAAGCTTTTTGTTGAAATGGGAGAGAGATAGTTTGATTTTTATTGTTAGTGTCTCTTAACATTTGTTTTCCTATTTCCTTTCACATATGTTCCTCTGTTTTCTTTCCTAAATTCCACATATGAATGAGATCATGTGGCATGTGTCTCTACCTGACTTTTTCACTCTCTAGCTCTATCCACATCACTGCAAATGGCAAGACTTTTGTTCCTTTCTTTTCTTTTTCTTTTTTTTTTTTTGGATGACTGAATAATTTTCTATTATAAATATACCTCTCTTCTTTATCCATTAATCAGTCAATGCACATTTGGCTCTCTCTATAGTTTGGCTATTTTTTATAATGCATCTATAAACAACAGAGTGCATGTACCCCTTTGAATCTGTATTTTTGTATCTCCTGGGTAAATATCTAGGAGTGCAGTTGCTAGATTGTAGGTTAGTTCTATTTTTAACTTTTTAAGGACCCTCCATGCTGCCTTTCAGAGTGGTTGCACCAGTTTTCATTCCCACCAGCAGTCCAAGAGGACTCCCCTTTCTCCACATCCTTGCTAACCCCTGTTGTTTCTTTTGCTAATTTTAACCGTTCTGACAGGTGTGAGGTGGTATCTCCTTGTGGTTTTGATCTGTATTCCCTTGATAATGAGTGATGTCCATCATTTTTTCATGTGTCTGGAGCCATCTGCATATCTTCTTAGGAAAAGTTTCTATTCATGTCTTCCCATTTCTTTACTAGATTATTTGTTTTTTGGGGGATTTGAGTTTGAGAAGTTCCTTATAGAGTTTGGATATTAACCCTTTATTATACACATCATTTGCAAATATCTTCTCCTCTTCTGGAGGCTGCCTCTTAGTTTTGTTGTTTGTTTCCTTTGCTGTGCAAAAGTTTTTTTATCTTGGTGAAGTCCTAGTAGTTCATTTTTGCTTTTGTTTCCCTTGCCTCTGGAGACCTGTACAGTAAGACTTTGTTGTTGCTGGGATCAAAGAGGTTGCTGCCGGGTTTTGATTGGTTTCCTGTTCACATTTAGGTCTTTCATCAGTTTTGAATTCATCTTTGCTTATGGTGTAAGAAAGTACTCTAGTGTCATTCTTCTGCACATGGCTGTCTAGTTTTCTCAATAGCAGTTGTTGACAGGACTTTTTTTCCACTGGATAATCTTTCCTGCTTTGGTGATGATTAGTTAGCCACAGAGTTATGGTCCTTTTGTAGGTTTTGTCTTCTGTTTCATTGATCCGTTTCTCTGTTTTTGTGACTATACCGTACTGTTTTTTGTTTTGTTTTGTTTTGTAGTACCCTACTGTCTTGATGACTATAGCTTTGTTAATATAGCTTGGAAACGGGAATCATGATACCTCCAGTTTTGTTTCTGTTTTTCAGAATTGCTTTAGATATTCAAGATCTTTTGTGGTTCCATGTAAATTTTAGGATTGTTTCATCTCTGTGAAAAATGCTGGTGATGTTTTGATAGGGATTGCTTAAAATGTCTAGATTGCTTTGGGTACTATAGACTTTTTTTTTCTTCTTGGTACTACAGATATTTTAACAAAGTTTATTCTTCCAATCCACGAATCTGGGTTGCTTTTCCATTTATTTGTGTCTTCTCCAGTTTCTTTCATAAGTGTGCTATAGTTTTTGGAGTACATATCTTTAACTTCTTTTATCTCTTTGGTAATATACCTTACTGTTTTTGGTGCAATTGCAAATGGATTGATTCCTTGATTTCTTTTTCTGCTGCTTCGTTATTGGTGTAGGGAAATACAACTGATTTCTGTGCATTGATTTTATGTCCAGGTATTACTTCTGGCAACTTTTGAGTTGCTGAATTCAGGTATTACTTCTGGCAACTTTTGAGTGGAGTTTTGGGTTTTCTACCAGAGTATCATGTCATTTGCAAATAACAAAACTTTGGCTTCTTCCTTGCTGTTTTGGATGGATTTCTTTCTTTCTTTATCTCCCTTTTTCTCTCTTTCTCTTTCTCTTTCTTTCTTTCCTTCTTTCTATCTTTCTTTCTTTCTTTCTTTCTTTCTTTTTGTTTCTCTTTCTTTCTTTTTTCTTTCTTTCTTTCTCCTTCTTTCTTCCTCCCTTCCTTCCTTCCTCCTTTCTTCTCTCCCTCCCTGTCTCTCTCTCTTTCTTTCTTTCTCTTCTATTTCTTTTGCTCTCTCTTTTTTTTTTTCTGTTTTTCTTGTCATATTGCTTCCAGTACTATGTTACATCCTTGTCTTGTTCTTGACTGTAGAGGAAAAGCTCTCAGTTTTTCCCCATTGATAATGATAATAGTGGTGGGTCTTTTGTATATGGTCTTATGTTAAGGTGTCAAGGTGTGTTCCATCTACACCTGTTTTGTTGAAGATTTGTTAAAGAGTGGATGCCGTATTTTATCAAATGCTCTTTCTGCATCGACTGAGAGGACCATATGATTCTAATACTTTCCTTAATGGAAAGTGGTGTAAGCTGTTGATTGAACCACTTCTCCAGCCTAGGAATAAATCCCACTTGGTAATACTGAATAATTCTTTTAATGTTCTGTTAAATTCAGTTTGCTATAACTTCTTGAGAAATTTTGCATCTGTGTTCATCAGGAATATTGACCTGTAATTCTCCTTTTACATGGGGTCTTTGGTTTTGGAATCAAAGTAATGCTGGTCTCTTAGAAGGAATTTGGAGGTTTTCCTTCCATTTCTATTTTTTGGGAACAGTTTCAGACGAATAAGTATTACTTTTTCTTTAAATATCTAGTAGAATTCCCTTATAGGCCATCTGGCTCTGGACTTTTGTTTGTTGGGAGATTGAATCAGGATTACTGATTCAATTTTTTTGCTGGTTATGGATCTGTTCAAATTTTCTATTTCTTTTGGTTTCAGTTTTGGTAGTTTGTTCATTCCTTCCTTCCTTCCTTTCTCCTTTTTTAAAGATTTCATTTATTTATTTGTCAGAGAGAGAGAGAGCACAAACAGGCGGAGCAGCAGGCAGAGCAGGCAGAGGGAGAAACAAGCTCCTCACTGAGCAAGGAGCCCGATGTGGGACCCAATTCCAGGAGCCTGGGATTATGACCTGAACTGAAGTCAGCCATTTAATTGACGGAGCCTCCCAGGGGTCCCAGTAGTGTGTATGTTTCTAGGAACTTGTCCATTTCTTCCAGGTTGCCAAGCTTGTTGCCATATAATTTGCTCACAATATCTTATAATGTTTGTATTTGTCAGGAAATTTTATCTCTCCTTCTATCCTAATTGACAAGCTTACTGGATAAAATATTCTTGGCTGCATGTTTTTCCCATTGAGTAGGTTGAATATATCCTTCCACTTTCTTCTAACCCGGCATGTTTCTGTGGGCAGGTATGCTGTGAATCTGATTTGTCTTCCCTTATAAATTAAGGACTATTTTCCCTTGCTGCTCTCAGGGCTCTTGTATTTTGTGAATTTGACTATGACTGCCCTGGCAGTGATTGGCTTTTGTAGAATTTAATGTGAGTTCACAGTGCTTCTTGGATTTTGTTTTCTGTGTCCTTCCCCAGATTAGGAAAGTTTTCAGCTATAATTTGGTCACCTAGGGATGCCTGAGTGGCTCAGCTGGTTAAGTGTCTGACTCTTGATTTTGGTCCAGGTGATAATCTCATGGTAATGAGATTAAGCCACACACTGGACTCTGTGCTGGTATGCTTAGCCTGTTTAAGATTCTCTCTCCTCCTCCCTCTAACCTGCCTCCTGCCTCTACCTGCCCCTCCCTGTCTGTGCACTTTCTCTGCTCTCTCAAAAAAATATTTTTGCTCAAATTAACTTTCTGCCTCTTTTTCTCTTTTGCACCTTTTGGGACACCTACGATATGAATATTACTCCATTTTAGAAAGCCGCTGAGTTTGTTCTGAAAGTCTACCTTCATGATTCTTTGTTTCCCTCTTCTTTTCATCTCATATTTCATAATTTTATCTTCTGTATCACAGATTCATTGGTCTGACTCATCCAGCATTGTGATGGCACCATCCATTTGGGATTGCATCTCAGTCTTTGCATTTTTAATTTTGGCTTGACTAGATTTTAGCTCTTTTAATCTGTACAGTGAGGGATTCTCTAGTGTCTTCTATGCCTTTTTGAAGCCCAGCTAGTAACCTTACAATTGCTGTTTTAAATTCTAATTTAGACATTTTACTTATATCTGTATTGATTAAATCTCTGGCCAACATTTCTTCCAGTTCTTTCTTTTGGGCTGAATTTTTCCATCTTGTCATTTTGGAGGGGAAAAAAAGTAAAATGTAATTAAAATTTTTTTAAAATTTCAAAAATCAATAAAGAAAGCTAGATCCTAGGTGTGTTTTTGTCAGCTTGTTGTAAGAAGCTTCCAGAGGTTGTTTCCTCTGTAGTTGTGCAGCTTTGTTCATGAAGACTTCCAGTTGAATTCTGGGGTGTTCAGAATGAGTTGATATTTATTTAGGTGTGTTTGAGGAAGGAGGCTAGTTAGGGTGCCCTAGTTCTCTGCCATCTTACCCCCCCCCCCCCGCCCAGAGATTTTTTTTTTCTTTTTAATTCAAAACATCCAGTTGTATTATGACAACTCTAGAAAGCACCTCCAGCCCTTTCCCACAGTTTGTTGTTATTGCTTTTGTTTTTTTTGTTTTTTGTTTGTTTGTTTGTTTGATTTTAATCACTTTTCTAGACTTTTTTTCTTTGTCATGTGTGGTCCTTGTTCCATTAGCATAGTGGTTAGCTACTTATTTTATTGAGATATACTAAATATTATAGCCAAAAAAAAAAAAAAAAAACCCCAAAATTTTCTCTGCTCTTGAAGATTACATTTCTATTGGGGCATTCCTTCATTGGTTAGCCCTGCTATTCACAACTCTTAGATTTCTTTCATTATATTTGGGTGTATCCTAGATGTAAGCCTAACGTGAAATTAGGGTCTCTTCAGCTCTTTTCCAAGAATGTTCTAGGAAATGTACGGCCTTCTTGATTTTTCTGGCATACACAGGAATTTTCAAAGCACTAATGTTTTTGTACTTCTTTCCCAAACTCTGATTCTTTCTAAGATTTCACTTGTGTGCTACTTGTCCTGATTGTTATCTCTTGCCTTAGGTGACTGAATTAGTATATCCGCCTTTACACTTTTTGATAAAGTCCCCAGTTTAGTCCTTTTGTTTGAAGACTCAAGACAGAAAGTGTAAAGGCAGACTCCAGAGTCAAAATACATTTATAGTTCATTGCAAACAAGGTCTGTATTTCTTCCTTACTATAACTAGTAAACCATACTGGCACTAGGTTTTCACCATGCTAGGTGGGTAAGTTAACACCAAAAGTCTCTGCTACTGAAATGTAGCAGGTTTTTTCTTTGTTAAATGTTCCTTTGATTTTAAGGGTTTTGGTGAGATTCCAGAGCTCTGAAAAAATTGATCTGATAGTTTTGCTGCTCTAATTTTTTTTTTTTTTTATTTAATGGCGAGTTGAGTTTTCCACCATTTTTGATGACATCACCCCAGAGGTCAGTGGAGTGTATTTTAATATAAATAAAGTGGTTTTTAAATTGTTTTTACAGGCATTTTAAGCCACACTTGATAAAATTGTGTATGGGTGTAATTATTTTATTCATTATCTTAAATTCACTTCTTAATTTTTAAATTTTATTCAAAGGAAAAAAAATAAATTTTATACAAAGATTATAACCTTTTAAATATTCTGGAAGGTAAGATGTGGTTTAACTTATGGTTTAACCAACTAATGTGAGGGAATTATTTTAAATTTTAAAGAGTTAATTATGGTGACTGTCTGGGTACTTAGAATGACTGCTTAAGAATGGGTTTGTATATACTGATTTGGATGGAAGAATTTTAAATACATTTTCTGAATTATAAATGCTGAAATATCTTTTTTATTATTTAATAGTCGTTAAATTCCTATTTATTTATAAATTCATGTGAAATTCATACTCAGTATTCAATATTATCAATAAAGGTGGAAGCAGTAATTTAAACTGTATTTTGTTTTTTCAACTTACACATATACATTTTTAATTTTCAGAGTGTTGAAAATCTTTGCTCCTACAATTTATCTGCAAACTTATATAAACAGTTGAAGCAGCTTTGTGAACAGCACATCAAAGCAGAAATTCATCAGTTCAGAGAGTATCCTTTTTTCCCCCTTTGTGTTGTTTTTCCTATTTTGTCCAATTTCCATGTCAGTATCTGTTGAGTGGAATAATTAATTTGGCATATGGGATTAATTTTGTTTGTGTAAGATGTAGAGATGCTTGGATTTACAGTTAGCATTAATCAGTTTTACCAAGTACTGTCTTGGAAGTTGTATCTTCCATTTGCAGAATGTGTGTCAGTTTTAGAATATAAGCTTTTTCTTAACATTACTTCATGTATTCTTTGGATACTGGCCCTTTTCTAAAGAAAATGGATAAATGCTGGCAAAATCATGGCAGACAAATGGTAGTTTGTAGAAATTGTATTTTTAGTTAAGAGAATTATTATGGAATGTTAGATGGTCTATAAAAGAAATAATACAAAGTGTAGTGACTCATGCTTTATTTAAAAGCAAATTTGGAAAGGATTTTATGGTAGAAGTCTATTCTTAATTCTTTAAAATTTCAACTGTAATTTACTGGTTTGCCTACAGTTTGGAAAAAATTTTTTTTCAAAGAGGTAATTATATTTTAGATATAGTAGTATTTAGCATTAATTTGAGATTAAATGAATGTCACAAAATATATGCCAGATTGGGTACTACCTGATATTAGTAATTTATCATCTGAGGTTTGAATATACAAGGGAATGTGCAATAAAGGAATTGGAGCTATAATAAAGGGAATTATACTAAATTAGACAGATAAACTGTTTTAAATATATTGACATAAGATGTTTATGTGTTTTGAGGATGAAAATCTGATGCAAATTGTGGTCGCTTTTCAATTTTGGCATAATAAACTATGAGATAATTTAATGTGTTAATAATATTACTACAAGTTTTAAATTTGTATTTAATGTGTGAAAACAAAACTGTGAATTTAAATCTTCACTGATAGAAAGCGTTTTTCCCAGTTTCTTACATAAAGACAGCTAGAATAAACTCTTCATATTCTTTAAAATAGTGATAAGAATTTATATTTTTTAAAATATAAAAGGGATGGCCCACATGAATTATGACATGAAAGTATTTATCTGATTTTTTTTATGGTTCTTTTTGAAAACATCTTTATTGGGGCATAACTGACATATGATAGGCCACAGATACTTACTTGAGCCTACAGTTCAGTAAGTTTTGACATATTTATACCCCTGGGAAGCCACCACCACAATCAATAGTGAACAAGCATATCAACTCCAAAAGTTCCTCTTACTCTTGGTTGTCCCTGCCCCTGAGACAGAACAGAAGCTGACATAGGTCCCCTTACTCTGACAGCAAAATCTTTGGCTGCCTCCATAAGGAGAAGAAAAAGCTAATGCTCTCTGCCTCTTGTGGAGCTTATTTTACAGGAATTCAAAGGGAGAGGGATGTGAACTTTAACTGTTTAACTGATTGTTTGGAGTTGTTAAACCCATTCTCACTCATTTCCGATTCTCTCTCATATCCTCCTTAGTCATATAGATGGCTACCACATCACAGCTTTCTAGTCTTCACACTTACTTAGAAAAGTAATCACGAGTCTTGGCTCAAAATCAAGGCTGTGAACCATGCAACTATCAATCTCCTTAATCTCACGCAGCGCTGTTACATGACAAGATTCTCTGGACAGCGTAATTACCCCATCCTGTAACACTTCCAAATGCTCTGTGCAGAGCTCCAAGGGGAATCAGCAAAGAGATGCCATAAATGTTTTAAGTTAAAGCAAAAAAGTACATATTTTCTAAAAACAAATTATCTGTGAGTACAATCATTGCCAAAGTTAAGATTGTACAAGCATATTTTAAAATCTTATTAATTTAATCACATTATTTATAGAGATTGTGAACTTGCCACAAAAATGAAAGACCATATTTAGGCCATCTTTCTGGGTTTTTGATCCAGTTTGAAGGATTGTATGTAAGAGGAAACAAGCATGCTATGTATGTTTGTTACTCCATGCAACTTTGGACCAGATAAGCTGGAAAATACTTCCTGGAAAAATTCTTAGTTGTCGTTTAAGATATTTGTCACTATTTTCGTACTTTTCAGGATCTTATCTCTTTATTACCTCTCTGGTTTTCTCTTGTTTCTCATTTGGTTTTCCCCATCTGTTTATGAAAGCAAGTTTGTGTTATACATAAAGGTGTATTTAAATTATTAATGCTCTATTTCTTTTTTTACTTGATGAATTCTTAACACATTTTCTGAGATAAAATTGAGACATAGCCTTGTGTTAAGATATACAGTGTGATGATTTGATACATTTATATACTGCAAAATGATCACCGCAGTAGCACTAGTTAACACCTTCATCACCTCACATAATTACTGGAACATTTAAGGATTTCATTAACTTTCAAGTGTTTTTCAGTATAGAGGGTGTTTATTTTCACCACCTTGCTTTACATTAGATCTCTAAAATTTATTCATATTATAAGTGAAAGCTCATATCCTTTGGCAATTACTGTTTTAAAATTGAAATGACTAAAAACTTATTTCTTAACAAATTCACTGAATTTTTGTCACTAAATTTATCACCAAATTTAATCCTTAGTGTTTTTTCATTTTGTTTTTCTAGTACAGCAGATATTAGCATATAAGATGCTAGTGAAAATTCTCTGGTTTCATCAATACTCTTTAAAAATATAAAGGAGTCTTGAGACAAGAGTATTTGAGAACTGGTATTTGCTGTATATGCTCACTTTGCAATTAATTTATACACAACCATTATATTCAGAGTAAAGAATTCTCTTGTTACTCTGTGTGTCTTCAAATACAAAGCATAAGATCTTGTATTTGTACATAGCCTTGGTCCTAGGTAGGTATTCCTGTTAATTCCTCATATTTCTTCTTCTTTTATTATCCACAACTCTAGCTCTTTTATTTTCTGTCCTCTAATCTTCTATTGTTTCTTAGTTTCTACATGAGTAAGCTATGTGAGTAAGTTTTATTTATATATCTCCATTAATCTTTATTATTTAACAACTAGTAATGTAGAAAAAAAAGTGAAAAATATGAAAGGTTCTCTTTCCGAGATAAATAAATACACTACTGACCAGATTTGATTTATAGATTGATAGTGATGTTTATAAATAATGTGCTTTTCTTAAGAATTAATAATTTAACCCCAAAATTTTTCAGACATAATGTTTTACCTTTGTTTTATTTCTGACAGAGCATGATCAGGAACATTTTTCTGTTCCTAGATAGAACTTATGTTTCTCAAATTTCGATGTTGTCTTCCATTTGGTAAGGATACAATTAATTACTTGAAAAATTGTTGCATGTAATTTGTGATCACTTTTCTTTCTCCTAACTGAAAGAAGACCTAGTAAGATAAATTTATAAACTTTCAAAAATAATTTCAAAAATCTATATTTCTCTATATTTATCATGAAACAAAAATGTTTTGAAATTATATTTGATTACACAGTAACACAGATTATATGTCAATTTTTAATTGATCTCTGTTAATAAACTATCTTATTTCAGAAACACAAATTCTAAGATATATTCTAGGATAACATCATATTACATATACTTTATTATTAATAACATTAGAAAGTCAGTAAATTGATATTAAATTGTGTTAATGAAGGCTGAAAAATCTAAAATAGGGTGATTGTAGGAGCTTTGGAGTCATCCTAAATTTTATTTTATGTTTTTATTTTTAATTATGGAATTATGCATGATATCCAGTATACTTAATATACTCTGAAATCTTATTTATTTTGATTGATTTCAGACCATCAAAAACAAAATAGAAGAATTTAGCCAACTGTAGATAGAATGAACTTTACATCACAGTATATTTTCTTTTGTGTGTGGGGAAGTGCAACATATATAAGAAAGTATAACTGATGGCAAAAAAAAAAAGAACAAATTTACAGTGTCCCAAAAATATTATTTATTTAGGCGGGTTTTTATTTTGTTGTCATTGTTTCAGGGACATGGGCCTCGAATTATTTAAATCATATATAATTTGTGATCAGAATGTTCACAACAGGATCATAGATGGAATTCTTCTGTTGATTGAAAAAGAAAGAAATGGTGAAATGATTGATCGATGTCTGATTCAAAGGCTTTTAACTATGCTTTCTGATCTACAGGTAAGTAATTCTTTAAGTGTAGTTAAATTGAAAACTAATTTCTAACCTGATATTTTAAAGATAGGTTTTAACTGAGGTTTGTTGTTTTTTTTTAATATATTGCATCTTAGATTTACCAAGAGTCATTTGAGAATAAATTCTTAGAAGAAACAAGCCAGTTCTATGCAGCAGAGGGAAGGAAGATAATGCAAAAAAAGGAGGTACTTGAAATCAAGATGACAATTATAAATTCTTTCATTATCTGTAGAACAGATCATTAAATCCTTGTGGAAATGGTTCTCCATCTCCAATGAGATGTTTATAATTCCTGTATATATTTTGACATATTTTTCTAACTGACACTTTTTTTTTTCTTTTCTTCATCAGTTGTGCTAAAATTTTGTAAGTTTTGTTGACCTTTTCAAAGAGCCAGCTCTTGTTTTTGTTTTTGTTTTTTTTTTTCCGGTTGATTTTCTCATTTCTATTTCATTAAATGCCACACTATTATTTTTTGCTTGCTTCAGGTTTAGTTTGATCTTTTCCTAGTGTCTTGAGTAGAAAATTGGGTTAAAAAAAGTTAGGTTATTGTTTTAAGATCTTTCCATTTCAAATCTAGTTATTTGCAACTATAAATTGCCATGTATTAATATGTAAGCTGTAATCCTTAATTTTCAGTACATTCTGGCTTTATTTTCAATCACGTTAAAGTACTTCTTAGTTTCCCTCTTGATTTCTTCTTTGACATATTAGTTGTTGAGAAATGTCATGTTTAATTTCCACATATTTGTGAATTTCTCAAATTTCTCAAATTTGGGAATTTCTCAAAATATCCCATTTTCACTCCAGTTTTGAGTAAATGTGCACACATGGTATAATTTTTGGGTATGATTTGTATGATTCCATTCTTTTTAAATACATTCGCTTGTTTTGTGGTTTGAGGGGTTCTGTCTTGCTGAATGCTCCATGTGTGCTTAAGTAGAATGTGTATTCTGTTGGGGGGTGTTTTGCAAAGGCCTGTTAGTTCTTGTTTAGTGTTGTTAAAGTCTTCTGTGTCCTTGCTGGGTTTTGTCTTGGTGCTCTATCCATTATTTATCTTTTTATCTTGGCACCCTATCCATTATTTTTCTTATATATAAGATGTTTATCTTATCACATGTGTACATCCTATGTATACTATATAGCATATACATATATGCCACCAGCTACTGATGTCACCAGCTGTTGTCGAATTTTTAGTTTCTCTTTTCATTTCTGGCAGCCCTTTGCTTGAGTATTTTGTGGTTTTGTTGTACTTATATTTAGTTTCAAACCACAGCGTTTCCAATTACAAATTATACTCTGTTGTATAATTCTTGGGATTCTGATTATATAAAAACGAACGGAGCATGTAACTGTGTCTTTATGAAACTAAACTGATTTAAGACAGGGATATTTATGTTTGCCTGCTTGCTTGTTTTTATTCGTAACTTTTGTGCTTTAATTCTTATGATTCTTAGAAATAGGAAACTTAAAATATTTTTTTCAGATTCCTGGGTGTCTTTACCATATCCAGAAGCTCTTAGAAGAAGAGGTCGACAGAGTTAGAACCTACCTACACCTTAACACACAGTAAGAATTATGTATTACATAATTATATATGTGATTATATATTTATTATACTTTAAGATCACTACTATTTAAAGAGATTAATAATTATCATATGGTAAGACGAAATCATAAATTTCTTTCTTTTTTTTGCTTAGTTCCTCCCCCACTTCTTCATTTGTATCAAAGTAATGGGAATGCCTAACAAATTTCTTTGTTAAGTTTGTTTTTCAAGTTTTTGGGGAGCCAAAGTAGGAAAATTTGTTGTTGATCTTGTTGAATAACAGATGAAAGAATATTTTTTATGTAAACTAGGTATCTGTTATTACCTAATTTCCTCCAATTAGGTAATGATTACAGGTGATTTTTAAAATCAGGAGAAGTTCATGCAATAAAATTCAATCTTACTGAAGATGATTAAGACCATCAAAAATAGCAATTTTATGGTAATGATACATGAGTAACAACTTAAGACATCAAAATTGATAACAAAGGCACTACCCTCTTGGGGAGTAGTTTTAACTCTCCAGTATGAGAATCTTTTAGTAATCTAAAATTTTGTTCTTAAACAGGAAGCTACTAATTGCTATTGTAGAAAAGCAGCTTCTAGGTGAACATTTATCAGCAGTTCTTCAGAAAGGTAAATGAACAGATATGTCTAACAAAATAGTAAGGAAAAATAATTTTTTTTTATTTTTAAATTTAATTATTGTATTCTGTGTTATACATCTTTGGAAGTGATATATATGAAATGAGATATAATTTTTATTCTCATTTGCAAAAGTAGTTTGTGTCATGTAAGTTTAGTCGGGTTTTTTAAAGTTAAGAATACTAAATGAGAGTTATTTATATGCCTCAAAATAGTAATGTGGTGGAGGGTTTTTTTTTGGCTGGCATTTGAAAAATGTATTACACTATTTAATGTAATTTAATAATGTAATACATTTTTCTGGTGTTTTAAAACCTTAGATTACAGATTCTCTGGAGCACATGTTTTGTTTTCCTTCTGGTGTTTTCCCATTCTCCCCATAAGATTATCATTTGTTCAATAAATATGTATTGAGTGTTTTCTTCCTGGTACAAAAGTGGTGGTCTTGATACAGGGTGACTGCTTCTTTGGAAAGCCTTACTAAGTGAGTGCACGTAACTAAAACCTAATGTTGAAAAGAAGCACAACATAGAAGGAGAGCCTGGAGGTCACTGGGTGGCTTAGCTGGTTAAGTTTCATGGGACTCTTGGTTTAGGCTCAGGTTGTGATTTGAGGGTCCAGATATCCTCGTCTTTGTCCCGTCCCACTTAGCAGTTCACACTTCCAGGCTCAACACAAGGAGTCTGCTTGAATTGTCTTTCCCTCTGATCTTCTCCCCTCGTGAATGGGCATGTTATCGCTCAAATAACTAAATAAATGTTTTGTTTTGTTTTGTTTTGTTTTGTTTTTTAAAGAAAAGGAAAGTCTGCCTAGCGACCTCCAACCAAGAAAAAGATTTAGGCATAATTAGGGTAAAAAGGGAGGGTCAGTGTTGCTGAAGTATCCTGAAAAGATTTTTATTAGAGAACGATGAATGTTGGTTTTAATCTGGAGAGAGTAGATGTAGTTGATCACATTGGTTTCTTGAACAGTTGGGTTATATTATAGATATGACTGAAATACTTTTGAGCAGGAAGAGCATGTAGGAGAATATTCTAGTAACTTTGTAGAGAGAGAGGGAGACCTGGCTTTATGGTTAAGAAGAGAGATTATTGCATTAATTAAGGTAATTTTATCATTGGGCAAGGACTTGATTTCAACTGTTAATCCAAACTGTTCTATAACTTTAAGTTTTACTCTTAACCTACATATTTAGTTATTATGTTTAATTATTATCACTTGAAGTGACTTGTAAACAGATAAACTAAAATTTAACAATTTTTTTTTCATAAGAGAAATATAAAATAGAGTAGGGAAAACACAAATACTGAGTTTTTTTCCATGTTAGATGTACATTCACATCATCAAAAAGAGATTTATTAAAAATAAGCAACCTACTTGAACTGCTTGCTATGTCTCAGGGGCATCTTTAGCCCTCTACACTGGGCAGTGCCTTTCTCAAGTGCCTCGGAACTGCAGATTTGAAGCTTGCAGACTGGCCCAGGCTGTATGGCTTCCCCTGGAGCTTCTCGTGACAGTATTAGTAGGGCTGCATACAAGCTACTTGGCGCCTTGCTCTGATCCCACAGTGACTGGGGGAGCAGTGATGTTGGGCAGCTTTCTGGTCTGGCCATAAATGTATTTGGAAAATTTAGTTTGTAAGTCAAATTCAGTTTAACTCAGAATTACCGTTAGAATAATTAATTTGATTTACTATATAAGGGAACTTGGAAGACTTCTCCTGAAATTAAAAAAAAATAGTTTTAGTAAAAGAGATAAAAGTTTTATTTAGCATTCATTTTCCTAAGTAACTTGAGCATAATCTGAGCATAATAATCAGTTGTGATGATCCTGAAACTCAGCTCTTTGCACACACTCTGAAAATGCTCTTTCATTCAACACCAACTTTTACATTTTACTGAAGTCACAGTTATCTAAAATCTTAAGTTGTTATGGTTTATTTTATTTATTTTTATTTTTTATTTTTTTAAAAGATTTTATTTATTTGACAGACAGAGATCACAGGCAGAGAGGCAGGCAGAGAGAGGAGGAAGCAAGCTCCCCGCTGAGCAGAGAGCCCGATGCTGCAGGGCTCCATTCTAGGACTCTGGGATCATGACCTGAGCCAAAGGCAGAGGTTTTAAAGCACTGAGCCACCCAGGTGCCCTAAAGCAAAGTTAAAAAACTACATAAAGGATTGACTAGATTTTATAATGGATTTGTGCATAGAAAAAAAACCCAAGGTTATTAGCACCGCATAAATATCCCTTTTAACCTTTACACACACACATACAACTATATGAACTTTGATTAGCATTTTTTAAATTTCCTTTTTTAAATAAATAATCCTTTTTTAAAATAAATATCCTTTTTTAAATTTTTAATTAGTGCTTTTTCTTGTTTTGCACTAATGGTTTGTGTTCTGTGAATAAAATAAATTAAATTTCCTAACAGCTTTAGCACTGGAAGCTGATATCATGGATGGTTTACTAGCCTCACACCATTTTTCTCCTTTATTTCTTAGATTTACCAAAATAGGAGGACTTACTTGTATTTTTCAGTAGAATATATAACATTTGCCCACTCAGAATAGTAATCCAGGAACTTTAAAAGGCACTCAAACAGTTTTATAGAATTAGGTACTAATGTTTTTAAACACATTTTTGAAGAAACCACAAGGGGAAAAAAAAACAAAAACAGGTGGTTTTCTACTAAAAATGGGGTGTCTTTGTTTATAGGGTGAGTAGAGAATAAATCCAGAGAAGTCTTGAGTATGTGTATACAATTGAAATAAACCAGAAATTTGTTATCTTAAAGAAAAGGGGGTGGTCCTTATTGTCTTTAGCTTTATTTGGTTTTGTTTAGAAGACAGTTTAATCAATTTATCAGATTTCTTTTCATTTATGGAATAAATTGCTTACACACCATGTTCCCTTTGCAAAGGGAACAAACACTAACATTCCTTATGATGTAAATTGAAAGTAAAGATTTATAAAAGTAAATTGAGGCCCCAAATGCAGAACGTTTAGATTTTCTTCTTATTTTTAAAGATTTTTAAGGATTTCCTATTTTTAAGGAAGGATTTCCTATTTTTAAGGATCCTATTTCTAGATTCAAAAAGTATTTCACTGGCAACGTTTGTCTTCTTTTAAAAAAAATGAGATAATATAATTTTTATACCATAAAATTAAACTGTTCTAATACATATATTAATGAAATTGGACAGTCATCACCCCATGCATTTTAGAACAACCAGTGACTATTTAATGATTGAAAAATTTCTGTTGACCATTAGTGTTTACTTTGATAATCAGAAAAGTCGATGAAAATCCATAATCTAAAATGTCATCATTATATCTTTTCTCATCTTATTATTTTTTTTTTTTTACTAAATTTAAATTTAAAATACCAAAAGACTTAACCCTTCACACAAACCGTACTAAATTGTTATCCTGATAGTGTGGATTGATTAGAAAGGTAGGAGTTTATCAACAACACAGTGGGAAGTGAGAACTGAACTAAAGTAAAATAGAGTTTTTTAGATCTTTGAACTTGAGGAATGCTGATAAAATTCTAAAGCCTTATATTACTGATCTTACCTTACTGATATATGTTAACTATGATACATATAGTTCCAAGAAACAGAGTTGGCAGAAAGTTTCTTTGGACAGTGAGGGTAATTTATTCAGTTTATTTGTGATGAGGTGATGTTAATATATTCTGATGCTGAGCAAAACTTTGCAGAAACAAATATATTCCTGTATATCCTTTGCATTCTGGGATTTTTTTTACATTTATTTACTTATTCAGTGATTAGATTTGTTCATGTATTTGGATACACTGTATAGCATCCTTTTTGGACTTGATCATCTCTAACTTATTTCTCTTCTCATGTAAAAATCAATACCTGGTAGTTAATCGATATTTAGTGTTTCTAATTACTAATTTTTAAATTAGAATTTAAAATTTCTCATTTTTCCTGCACACTAGTTTCGGTACTACAAACTTGTTTACTGTATTGTTTTTTATTGGTTGGGCGGCTGCCTTTGGCTCGGGTCGTGATCCTGGAGTCCCGGGATTGAGTCCCGCATCAGGCTCCCAGCTCCATGGGGAGTCTGCTTCTCCCTCTGACCCTCTCCCTTCTCATGCTCTCTCTCAAATAAATAAAATTAAAAAAAAAATATATATATATATAACATATTTTGGGGCAATAATTTGAAATATACAGTGGTTTACAAAGCTAGCAGTTATGAGAATAAAAATATAGTTCAGAGGCATAATTTTTTTTTCATTATCCATCTGATTATTGCTTAAAAGAAACTTACTCTATTACTATCATTTGTATGGTTTAGGAGTGTACTATTTTTAATTGAGTATCTTAATGTAATAATCTCAAAATAATCATTTAACATATATTTGAGGTGGATATTTATATTGCTGACTTTGTCTTCATGTTTCTAATAATCAGGCTTATGCTATCTTCTTGATGAAAACAGGATTGAGGATTTGTCTCTACTTTATCAACTGTTTAGTAGGGTAGACTGTGGAGTTCAAGTTCTTCTCCAACACTGGATTGATTATATAAAGGTACTAAAGAAGATATAATTGAAAAATAATTTAGATTATTTATGGTTTGTTTTCCCACTCCAATAATGTATTGTACTTTTACTCTAGAAATTTTTATCTTCTTATCTAAGAAATGTTTACTGACTTGAAATTCACAAAGTATCTGTATTTTAAACTTTCTTAAAACTCCTTTTTTCTCTGTTTATAAAGCCCCACCCTGCCCCAAATAATATTTCCTTTTTGAAGGGGAAGGATGGGGACATTATTTATTGGTGTAACATTTTATTTTGCTTTCCTACCTTATATTTATTTATTTATCACCTCACAGTTTTAGTCTCTTGTTTAATAACAACAATTATTGAAAGAGACTGTAAACATAAAATGTTTTAGGGAAGCAGAGAGGGAGGGCAGCTTTCTTACCCTAAAGATCAAAGGGAGTCCTTCACCAGCGCAGTGTTCTCAGCAGTTCAGTGTTTTTCAATGAATAATTAATAAAGTTTTGTATGTGGTGAATAACAAATAACATAAAATTTACTGTGTTCACCATTTAAAGTATGCAATTTAGTGGCATTTAGTATATACATACAGACAGCATACATAGAGACAGATAGACAGAAAGTAGCTTAACTGCCAGAGGTTGGGATGGGAAGATAAAAGGAATGGCTGCTTAATGGGTGCTGGTTTCCACAACCATCACCATTTAGCTCTGGAGTATGTTCTGTTATCTACTAGAGAAACCCAACACCCATTTTAAGTCACTCTCCTTATTTTCTTCCCAGATCCCCCAGCAACTACTCATCAACTTTCTGTCTATTCTGATTTGTCTGTTTGGGTATTTCCTAGAAATTGAATCATACAATATGTGGGCTTTTTTCTGGATTCCTTTACTTAGGATGTTCAATATGTTTTGACACTCTTTCATTATTTTTAGTGGCTGATATGTTCTGTTGTGTATCTGCACCACATTGTGCTTGTCATTTTATAAGTGGACACACATTTGGATCGTTCCCACCTTTTGGTTCCCAACTTTTTGGGGACAGGTATTGGGAATAGTTTTTCTTTTAAAAATTTAACTTAAATTCCAGTTAGTTAACATACAGTGTAATATTAGTTTTGGGTATACACTTTAGCAATTAAGCACTTCCATACAACACCCCAGTCTCCTCACAAGTACACTTTTTAATTCCCATCACCTATTCAATTCATCCTTCACCCACCTTTCCTCTGGTTGTCATCTTGTTTTGTTACTCTAGATTTAAGAGTCTTTTTCCAGATTTACCCCTCTCTCTCATTTTTGCCTTTCGCTCATTTGTTTTGTTTCTTAAATCCCATATATGAGTGAAATAATATGATATTTCCTTTTCTCTGACTTATTTTGCTGTAACTCCATCCATGTCATTGCAAATGCAAGATTACATGCTTTTTTATTGCTGAGTAATATTCCAGTGTGTGTGTGTGTATGCATGCACGTATGCATGCATATGTGTTTGTGTGTGTGTGTGTGTGCGTGTGTGCGTATCACATCCTTTTTTTCCTTTCAAAGTCAGTGGACGTGTGGGCTGTTTGCATAGTTTGGCTATTGTAAGCAATGTAAACAATGTAAACAAACATCAGGGTGCATGTATCACTCTGAATGAGTGTTTTTGGGTGAATACCTAGTAGTTCAATTGCTTTTGGGTAAATACCTAGTAATTCAATTGCTGGGTCGTAGAGTAGCTCTATTTTTAACATCTAGAGGAACCTCTGTACTGTTTTCCAGAGTGGCTGCACCAGTTTGCATTCCCACCAACAGTGGAAGAGGATTCCTCTCTCTCTGCATCTTTGTCAACATGTGTTGTTTCCTGGCTAGTTAATTTTAGCCACTCTGACCAGTGTAATATGGTCCCATTGTGGGGTTGATTTGTAATTTCCCTGTTGATGGGTGAGTTGAGTGTCTTTTCATGTGTTTGTTAGCCATCTGGGTATCTTTGGAAAAATGTCTATTCGTGTTTCTGCCCATTTTTAATTAGAGTATTCATTTTTTTGGTGTGGAATTTTAAGTTCTTTATATATTTGTGGATACTAACTGTTTATCAGATACATCATTTGCAGATATCTTCTCCCATTCCATAGGTTGCTTTTTAGTTTTGTTGATTATTTCCTTTGCTATGCAGAAGCTTTCTATTTTGATGAAGTCCCAATAATTTATTTTTACTTTTCTTACCTTGCCTCAGGAGACCTATCTAGAAGACAGTTGCTAAGACTGCTGTCAAAGAAGTTACTGCCTATGTACTTTCCCAGGATTTTGATGGTTTCATGTCTCACATTTAGGTCGTTCATCCATTTTTATTATATTTTTGTGTATGGTGTAGGAAAGTGGTCCAGTTCCATTCTTTTCCACGTTGCTGTCCAGTTTTCCCAACACCCATTTGTTGAAGACACTAATTCAATATTTCCTTCTTTGTTGAAGGTTAATTCACCATATAATTGTGACTTCATTTTTGGGTTTTCTGTTCTGTTCCATTTAGAGCTATGCCTCTGTTTTTTGTGCCAGTACCACACTGTATTAATCATTACATCTTTGTAGTATAGTCTGAAGTCCAGGACTATGATGCCACCAGCTTTTCTTTTTCAAGCCTGCTTTGCCCATTTGGGGTCTTTTGTGATTCCATACAAATTTAAGGTTTGTCCCAGCTCTTTGGGAAATGCTGGTGGTATTTTGATAGGGATTGCATTACATGTATAGATTGCTTTGGGTAGAATAGACATTTTAACAATATTTGCTCTTCCAGTCCATGAGCATGGAATTTTTTTTTTCCATTTCACTGTGTCCTCTTCAATTTCAGTTTTCAGAGTACAGATCATTTTCCTCTTTGGTGAGGTTATTCCTAGGTATCTTGCTCTTTTTGAGTGCAATTATAAATGGCAGTGCTTCCCTTAATTTCTCTTTATGTTGCTTCACTATTCCAGATTTCTGTATGTCAATTTTGTATCCTGCAACCTTAGTGAGTTTTGTATATCCTTTCTAGCAGTTTTTTGGTGGAATCCTTCAGGTTTTGTAGCTAGAGTATTATATCATCTGCAAAGAGTGAAAGTTTGACTTCTTCCTTGCTGATTTGTTTGTCTTTTATTTCTTTGTGTTATTGTTGTGGCTAGGACTTCCAGTACTGTGTTAAATTACAGTGGTGAGAGTAGATACATCCCTATCTTGTTGAAGAAAAGCTGTCAGTTTTCTCCCTTGATAATATTAGCTGTGGGTTTTTCATAATTGACCTTTATTATGTTGAGGCATGTTCCCTCTAAAAACCTACTTTGGTTGGTGGTTTTTATCATGAATGGACGTTGTACTTTGTCAAATGCTTTTTCTGTGTCTAGCGAAATGATCATATGGTTCTTATCCTTTTACTGATGTGGCGTATCATGTTAATTGATTTGTGACATTGAACCACCCCTGCAGCTCAGGAATAAATCCCACTTGATCATGGTGAATGATTCTTTTAATGTATTGTTGGGATTAAGTTTTCTAGTATTTTATTGAGAATTTTTGCATCCATGTTCATCAGGGATATTGGACTATACTTCTATTTTTGAGTGGAGTCTTTATCTGGCCACATAGAATGAATTTGTAAGTCTTCCTTCCTTTTCTATTTTTTGGAATAGTTTGAGAAAAATAGGTATTAACTCTTCTTTAAGTTTTTGGTAAATGTATCTATGAAGCCACGTGTTCTTGGATGTTTTGTTTCTTGAAAAGATGTTCTGATTGTTTGTTCAGTTTCTTTACTGGTTATCAGGCTTCTCAAGTTTTCAATTTTTTGCTCTTTAAGTGTTAGTAGTTTATATGTCCTCTTCTTCCAGGTTGTCCAGTGTGTTTTTCTAATACTCTCCTGTAATAGTATTTCTGTGGTCTTGCATGTTATTTCTCTTCTCTCATTTGTGATTTTACTTATTTGGGTACTTTCTCTTTTCTTTTTGATAAGACTAGTTAGACATTTATCAATTTTATTAATTTTTTCAGAGAACTAGTCCCTGGCTTCAGCCGTTTTTTTTTTCTTAAATTAATTAATTGATTAATTAATTTTCCATGTCATTGATTTCTGGTCTAATCTTTATTATTTCCTTCTCCTTTCTTCTACTGGCTTTGGACTTCATTTGTTCTCCTTTTTCTAGGTGTTTTAGATGTAAGGTTAGGTTGTGTATTTAAGACTTTTTTGCCCCTGAGGTAGGTTTGAATTGCTATGTACTTCCCTTGTAAGACCCCCTTTGCTGCATCTCAGTGGTTTTGGACTCTTGTGTTTTATTTTGATGTACTTTTTATTTATTTTTTGATTTCCTGGTTGACTGGTTGACCCATTCACTCTTATTTTTTTTAAAGGATATTGTTTAACTTTTGTATATTTGTGGTCCTTCCAGACTTTTTCTTTGGCCTCAAGTTCCATACTATTGTGGTCAGAAAATATGTATCATATGCTCTCACACTTTTTGTACTTTTGATGCTTGCTCTGTGGCCCAATATGTGATCTGTTGTGGAGAATGTCTCGTGTGCACTTGAAAACAGTGTGTATTCTGTTGCTTTGGGGTGGAATGTTCTGAATATATTTATGAAGCCGATCTGGTCCAGTGTCCAAAGCCATCATTTCCTGTTTGACTTTTTGCTTAGGTGATCTGTCAGTTGACGAAAGCAGAGTGTTAAAATCCCTACTATTATTGTATTATTATCAATGAGTTCCTTTACATTTGTTCTTAATTGTTTTATGTACTTGGGTGCTCTCATGTTGGGCTCATAAGTATTTACAATTGTTAGATATTCTTGTTGGATTGTCCCCTTTTATGATTTTTTAAAATTTTCTTTGTCTCTTGTTAACACTCTTTGTTTTAAAGTCTATTTTGTCTGACATAAGTATTGCTACTCCAGCTTTCTTTTGGCACCATTTGCATGATAGATATTTCTCTGTCCCCTCGTTTTCAACTTGCAGATGCCATTAGGTCTAAAATGAGTCTTTGGTAAGCAGCATACAGATGGGTTTTATGTTTTATATCCATTC